GTTGTGGAAAATTATTTTCGATTGGTCTCTCCTGGGTCTCGTTATTTCATCTTGGTATGAGTTGAAAAATATTTTTAAAAGATAGTTAAAAAAATGGTATGTGATATACAGTGTAACCCGGATATAAGAGACCCAGATATAAGAGAAACCCGGATATAAGAGAGATTTTCTTGGGTCCCAAATTAGAGCCTGTGTTAATGTATATAAAATAGACCAAACCCGGATATAAGAGACTTCTTCTCCGGTCCCGACAACTCTCTTATATCCGGGTTACACTGTATATCGCGTGATATCAGTCATTTAAACAGAGAAAACGTGTTTTCTTTGAAAATGAACATTTATTTGGGTTGGAACGTCAGGCACCAATAAGAAATATGCAACGACCTAAAGACCTTAGGCCTACTCATACTTGTCGCCTATTTCCAAAACTCTTAATTCCACGGAGAGCGACGCATTTTAGCTTCAGGTTGCGTTTCTGGCAATTCATTCCTGTAGTCGGTGTAAGAAATTCAATGAAATTTTCACCTGGATTAATTTTAGCTTATTTAATTGAACAAAGGATAAAGTTTAATTTTTCATTTTTCATTTCGGACATGGTATAGTATTTTATGTTTATTGAAAAAAAACAAAAACAATTTTTTAGTGCAAAATTCACTAAAAATGTATTTGAAGAATTTTGACTTATTACCTGGAATTTTAACATTTCTAACTTAATCTAATATTCTTCTCTGTGAATTTTTATTCATAAAAGCAAATACACAAAAGGTAAATTTTGTTTTTACCTAATCTGTATTTCATTTTCTAACAGCTGAAAATATGTCGATGTTTACCAGTACTTATAATATAATATAACTTTTTACACTACAAAATTAAAGAACAAAAATTGCATACTCGGATATAACAACGTATACTCTAACCGAAAAATGAAATTGATTTAAAGAAGTAAGTTTTCTAGTTTTTCTTACAAATGTTAAAAAGCCTCAATTGAGAAAAGTTAATTTTTAATAATGTTTGTTAATGTTTTTAACAGAGACCTTTTTGCGAAGACTTTTTTCTCGATTCCTTTTTTCACTGATATTTAAATTTAAATGCCACTATTTGTCACATAAAATTAATTTAATATTTCTCAATATGATATTGTTATTCATCAGAACAAATATATTGATGATAGAATGTAATGTTTTATATGAATTCTATTTTTTTTTCTAAAAAGGTATTTTTAAAAACGTATGCTGAATTTTAGTTTATTTTACTATTAGTTTACTGTAAAACACTTAAAATAGAAGCAAATGTAATATCTCCATAGTATAAAATTAATGAGAGTCGTTTATTAGAAATGTTTGAATTTTAATTTTTAAACCAAAGTTTCTGAAATTCAAATATTTTTAAATTGGCCTCCAGGTTTGGACTTTAGTTGCATTATGTGTATATCTGTAGTCGTCTTCTTAACATTTTCAACCGAAATAAAACTCAACTGAAAGCTATTATTTTGGCTTTCGACTCTAAAAGTAGAGGTTTAAAAAGAAAGAATATTTTCATTGCTCTTTCGTGCTCAGTATATATATAAAAAAAAGAATTTGTAAGTTTTAAAAGTTAAAATAGGCAATAATAGATATCATTTTATTTTCTGTACGATCTCTTAAAACAATTTCAGACCAACCTGATTCCTTTTCCCGTTCCAAGTAATGGACTTGAAGGTTAGTGTGATCTTGGCATAGGTTTCTACCACAATTATTACCGTTTTTATTTACGGTCATGCAATTGTAATTCGCATAAATATTATGATTAAAACCAGAAACTCCTTGTAGTTAGTTGACGGAGGTATTCAGAATGCTCTACTTGACTAATCAGGAAAATTGATGAAAATTTGATGTGCTACTTGTATTAGGAAAATACATTTTGTGCGATGTTCAAAAAGCTTATGATACTAAGAGAGGTTTTTTTTAAGCGTTTCACCCCAAGCAAGGCGGGAAGCCACTAGCATGCAAAGTGTTACAGTGAGTTAGAACGAGAGCAAAGATGAGTGATGGAGGAAAGGATGAAGAGAAGGATAGGGGGGGGGAGACGTCAATTGACATTACATTTGAATAGTTGGAAATTATAGCTATCAGGGAAACAAGAAAAAGGCAGGGTGTTCCACAGGCGAGAGGTGCGACATATGAAGCTAGTTAATCAACAATATGTCTTGACGATAAAATAATTTATCATTTACTCTAATAAAACATTATCTCTTTGTGAGCAAAGTAAAACTTTCAGAATTGAATGTCTTTGATTCTGCAATCAATTATTTAAATTATTTCCTTTGTCACAAATTTCTCTCGCTAAAGTTAAGGTTCACCTCGAGTGTTATATAGATTCATTGTCTTAATTTCAAATGTCAGAGTTTCTTAGCTTGTTTCTAGAAACAAACAAAAAAATGAACGAAAAATTCAAGCCTAGAAAGTTCTTAAGCCTGATGGGAATTCTAGATTACAATGCGCTAAAGATAAGGAGTTGATATGTAAGTTATCACTTTGAATTTTCTGGGATGTTAAAGTCTTTTATACATTAAATTGACAAAATTACAAGCATCTCAAATCAGAACAAAATATCTCTCGGTAGTTAAAAATGTTATTAACGTGTAGTATATAATTTACACAAGGAAATACGAGACATCTGAATCGAATTTAATGTCAATAAAGAACGTTTCTTTTAAAAGGGGGTGATCTGCGGAAACCCCAATATGTACTGAGCTCACTCGCAGAGATACCAAAATGGAATTTTCTGTGTTACATTTGAGGAGACAGTTGTAAAAGAGAGCTGACTTGGAAGGTGAGCTCCCATCCACTAGGCGCAGATTTCGTACCTCAGGGAATGTCAATGGCCTCGACCTGTAAACAAGTAGTTGAACCAACTGCGCATAGGATGTGTAAACATGGGACGACCATATAAGAGGAAGATATATAAGTACCCATCCATCCCAATGCATGTATATATATATGTATGTATCTGGGAATTTAACTATATATATGTATATATATCTTATCTTACTTATTATAAAAACCCAGGTTGTGTGTGTGTGTGTGTTTATATATGGGATCGGATTTCCTACATGTTTCAACCGATTTCAACAAAACTTCACAGGACTACGTAATTAAATCCGGCGGTGGTTCTGACAGCGCCAAAAATTGGAAAAACACAATTGTTTTTGCACGAAATCAATTTCAAAGCATGGGTAAGGGCCATTTATGCACATTTTTCGCAGTCTTTGGACGATGTTTTGTTACCAAGCCACCAAAACAAAGCGAATGGTCCAGTTTCTGATAGCACTAACGCTTGGCTATCTAACAAGTACCAAATTGTTTGCAAGACTGTCAAAGCCGCTTGACCAGGGAACCATAAACGGGGGTACCAAGGGACAGGATTTAGCCCTCTGAACACACATTCACTGGCACAGTATGTACAGTTTTGGTTTGATTCAAATGAAATTTACGACACACTTGCGGCTTACTATCTCCTTTATGTGTGTCAAATTTCAGAATTTTTCGGCAAAAATAACCGTAGCTGCACGCGGATCAATCTTTTTGTAACTTCCACACACACACACAGCAGCTGCGTACAACCGAGTTCGCGTCGATACCGAGACTGCTGCAAGCCCATTGGTCGTTTTTACAGAGCTTGACCTTGGGGCCTGTCCAATCATCGCGCAAGATTTATCACACGTTATAGCGCCCGCGTGATCGCGCGTCAGCTTATGTGTAAGTGCGCTCAAGTTCAACCACCTCTTTTGCGTGACTCGGGCGTGCTTTCACACTTTTGCGTTTATTGTTGCCCGCGTGCACGCACTTGGCTGACTTTATTCGCCTACTTCGGACACCGCAAGTTGTTGATTACGTATTCTAGCTGCTTTTTGTTTTATAGTTCCAACCCAACCCCCACACGTTAGCCAATTGTACTAAAAACCCATTTCCTTTTTGATTTACCCTTGGTTTACCTTTTAAATTTCCACTTTTTTAGTTTCGAGTTCCCCTTTAGTAACATCTGAACTCATTTTTCTGGGTGTTCCCCTTTTTGTGTCTACGTTAGCAGTGCACGTATTTCGTTTTGGATTTGTCGAAATCTCTTTTTAAGCTTTACCCTCTTTGATGTTTTTACTGTTTGGATGCCACCTAAAAGGAGGACACTTTTGGGACGGCGCACGGCAGCTGCCTCCGCTGCTAGAGCAGCGAGGGCGAGTGAAACCCCTGAACAGACTTCTTTGTGTCTTTCACGGATGGCCTCGAGCTCAGCTGCTCGCTTATCTACGGGAAGCGCCGATGCGCGGACTGAAAGTTTGGCTTCAGCGGCTTCAACCCTGTCCGCACGCCGCGCCAGGCTTTCAGTTGAAGAACGTTCACTTCAGAATTCACAGGACGCAGTCCGCGTGGCTAGGTTGAGGGCTTCACAGTCCCCAGCACAGAAAACCCTTCGTCGTTTGCGGGATGCCACCGCCAAAGCTTGCTCCAGGAGTTTAGAAAGCCCCGAACAAACAACTTCACGTCGTCTTAGGAATACTAGAGCTAAACCGCCTCTAGAGCTTCGGAACAACCCCAAGCAACCGCTCATTGTCGTTTTAGAAATGTCCTATCCACCGCGTCTGCCAGAGCCTTAGAAAGCCCTGCACAGACCACTGTTCGTCGCGTTAGAAATACCCGCTCCACTGCATCTGCTAGAGCCATAGAAAGCCCTGCACAGACCACTGTTCGTCGCGTCAGAAATGCCCGCTCCACTGCATCTGCTAGAGCCCTAGAAAGCCCTACACAAACCACTGTTCGTCGCGTTAGAAATGACCGCTCTACTGCGTCTGCCAGGGCTGCAGAAAACTCTGAAGTACGCCGTCAACGGCTTGAAAACATTATAACCAACTTCGAGCTTCTTTGAATGGCGTAACTTCGCCGTCTGCGTCAATTTGGTCAAATGCCGCATACAATTATGACTGCACTTTCAACTATTCCGCTAGGAGAGACGCACAAATAGGGGCC